TTTTTTGGTCTTTTTGAAGCAGGGTCTCCCTGTAGCCCCAGCTGTCCTGGAACTCACTATGTAGACCAGGCTGGCCTTGAACTCACAGAGATCCACCTGCCTCTGCCTCCCAAGAGCTAGGACTATAGGCGTGCACCACTATGCCCAGCTAGATGCAATATTTTTACAGAGTAGATTGCTTTAACTTTTAAAATCTCAACTCTAAGAAATTATTTAAAAATTATTTTCATAAATGTTTTATTAGTTTCCCAAATGCATATTTTTTATCAGTTTAAGTATTATATGCATGCTTAGTAAATTGATACCAAGGTCTCCAAAAAGAGCAAAGAAGAAAATAAGCAACCAAGGTCAATGAGCTTACTGAAAACATACTCTACTGCCCATGGGTGCACATGAGAGATCACATGGGCCATTTCCTGGAAAGCTACAACTGGTGGAGCATCTCATTTGACCAAAACAGGACAGTCAATCAAACTACCAACTACACTGGAAATCAGAGAGCTGAAGTGTGCATTCACATCCTAAGAATTTCAATGTAGCTCAAAATTTATATTCATCAATTAGCCAAATTTTGATGAGAAATTATGGCTTTTTCAACTGACAGTCCCGCCTTATTTTCTTGAATAATCATACTCTCATGATTCGGTGTATTCAACTTAAAGCACCCTGTGAATCAATGGAAATGCAGACGTCATCTACATTTTTAATCAATTCTGCCTATCTTTTCTGTTGTCTTTTCTTTGGTAACTCAATTGCCTTAAAAGTCATAGACTTGGGGCTGGAGAGATGGCTCAGCGGTTAAGAACACTGGTGTTCTTGCAGAAGACCCAGGTTCGAATCCCAGCAACCACATGGCAGCTAACAACTGTCCGTAACTCCAGGCCCTGGGGATCTGACAGCCTCTTCTGATCGCTGGCATTGCACGACATGGGTGCACTTACCTACATGCAGGCAATGCACACATACACATAAAATAAAAATAATAAAATTTTAAAATAAAAAAAGTTTAAAAAAAACTCATAGACTTAAACTTCATAGGCATGATATGTAGTCATCTTTCAATTCATAGTACATGAATTCTAGTCATCTTTTAATTGTCTTACAATCCACAGTCTTAAACAAGCATGACTACTCATCACTTGTGATCATCTTGCACTGTTCTTCACAATGGTAATTAAGGAAATACTATAACTGACTTTGGCTGAGCAAACAACTCAACCAGCAACCCAGGAAGTGCAGAACAAAAGAAATGATTTACAAAAGGAGCATCTAGATGTAGTGAGGTATAAGGAAGTCAAATGAAATGTCTCTGCAGTTTTCGAATGAGATCTTGGAGGCATTAGGTTAAAATATGTTTTGAGAAGTATTGAGTCAAGTCACTCTCCTAGCAAAATTAGCACTCAATATTTAAATTTTTTAAAAAAGTATGTGTGATGGTGTTTTGCCTGTGTTGGATAGGCCTGTCTTTTGAAGGACCAACAAGAGATAGAGGGATGTCTGAACCCTAAGAGACTCCCTAGAAAGGGAGAGAGACAGTCACCCCTCCCATACAATGAGTGAGCTTCAACTGCATGATGGGGGAGGGTCTAAGGAAAGACAGCAAAGCCAGGGAGGAGGCGGGAACTTTGCCACCTTCAGCAGGCAAGTCTACCAGAGCAGATCTGGAGAGCTCTTCCTCTAATGCAAATGATTAATATTTCAATTTAGTCCCCCATATTTAAGGCCTGTTTTTACAAAGTACTGGACTTCATATTCATAAATATATTTTAAGTAAGAGGTTATTTCATAAGATACCTAGTGAAAATTACACAAATTTAAGTAATTTTTCTCAAGGTACCACTATATATTATTTAAACTCAGAAGAAATTATCTCAATGTAAACAAAACCAAAAAAGCAATATAAAACCACTGATAATATCATAGGTACCTTAAATAATTCAATCTATTGAGGACCTATATAATAATGATTTCTAGTAGCTATTATAATTTTTCAGAATTTTAATTATACAAGATTTTACTTGCATAATTTCTATTTTGACCTACTATTTGGGGGACACAGTATCTAATTAACAGAAGAAAAGAGAGAAATCAGATCTCTGAAGAGCCACAAGGAGAGATGGATAATGCAGTAAGACCAGCAGCCATGGCCAAGGAAATGGAGAGGATCAGGGGACTTCTCAGCAATGTGGCAAGGAGGTGTCAGAAACCAAGGGGAGCTTGTTTATAAAGACTCCCAAAAAGCAGGAAACATCCAAAGTCTGAAAAGTTCACACAAGATTTAATGACTCTCTAAGTCTAAACATGGTTTTAAAAAAAGAAAAATATCTCACGTTAAAAGACTCTGGCACCTTTTCTTACCAAGATAGAAGCAAAATCTCTTAAACCAAGGGTAAAATCAGAAATAAGACATGGATCCAACTATAAACAGAAAAGGCAATGTCTGAATGCAAGTGGACCTTCCTTGAGTATCACATCAAAACACTGGAGACCAGGAGGCACCAGTTTGACTCTGCAAAGTGCTGAGAGCACAGGGCAATACAGGACAGAAAACACTTTTCCACATCCAAATATCTGGAAATCTTAAGTAAAACTGAGGAAGAAGAATGAAAACTTCAATACAGTGAGAATAAAAGCCTTTCAAATGGTGTAAGGGAAACACTTTAACTTGGAGGATTTCTTTTCAGAAGCAAGTAGAAGACAGGACAAACACAAAGATCCTGTTCAACATTTTCTACATAATAGTGCTAAGTATATTACTACATCAAATATACCCAGATGTGGGAAAGGAACTCTTAAGAAATCTATAAAGCACAGAAAAAAGAAAAGAGAAAAATATGGAGAAGAATTTTATAAAACTAATCCCTAAGTAAATCTTTTTGTTTGGGTTTGGTTTGGTATTTTGAAACAGGGTCTCTCTGTAGCCCCAGCTGTTCTAGAAATCTCTACGTAGATCAGGTTGGCCTGGATCTCAGAGTAAAAGTGCTAGGATCAAAGGAATGTACTACCAGGTCTGGCAAAATCCCTAAGTAAATCTTGATGGTAGATGAGTCAGATTTATGATAATCTTATGAACTGCTGGTTTTGTCATTGGGTACTCTAGTCATTTTCAACATGGTCTTCCCACCAAGGATTCACAGATACAGTGAACAAATATTTCATGAGCATCTATATGCAAAACATTCATTTAGGACAGGAGAAAGTGGTGAAGAAACAGAAATCAAGAATTCTTTCACATTGCTTAGAATCAAGTCAAGAATAGCACTGAGATTTGATAGATGTTCTTACCATTAACATCTCACTGTAAAGCACATACTCATGGATGACAGGGAGCAAGGCCTCAGAGAGGCCAGTCATCCGCTTCTCGGTGGCCTTACAGCACCTGTCAATGCAGCTGGCTACACCTTTCAGTGTATCAACCAGGTCTTCCTCTGAGGCTGACCACAGAATATGAATAGGGCCGTATTCTTTCATTTCATCAAAATATTCTAAAAAAAAAAACAAAATCAATGTTTTAATAAGTCTTTCAGTTTACATTTTTTTTCTTCTTTCAAAATTGGCTATAAATTTTTAGGTTCACAGTTGAATTAATACAATTATACAATATTGAACTCAGTATAAAACCTATAAGACATGAAATCGAATGAT